ACAAGCTAAACTTCGCACCTTCCAAAACAAAAGCAATGGTGATAACGAGGAAGCTAAACTACGACGCCCCACGCTTGCGCATGGGCGGGGGCGACATTGAGCTCTCTAGGGAAATTAAAATACTTGGCCTAACATTGGACGACAGGCTTACCTTTAACCAGCACGTAGATAATGTATGCAGGAAAGTGCAAGGCCTGTACGGCCAACTATCTAGAGCAGCCAGGGTCCAATGGGGGTTGTCCCCCGGGGTGGTCAGAACGATCTACACGGCGGTCGTGGAGCCGGTGATTATGTACGCTGCGAGTGCATGGTCGCCGGCTACGCGTAAGAAGGCGGTTAGAAGGAGGTTGGAAGCCGTTCAGAGGGGCTTCGTTCAAAAAATCGTCAAAGCCTACAGGACGGTCTCACTAAACTCTTCCCTGCTGCTCGCCGGACTACTACCGCTGGACCTCAGAGTCCAGGAAGCAGCCGCCCTGTATGAGATCAAAAGAGGTGTGTCCCGGCGGGTGGTAGGGGATCGAGAAATAGAAAAGAGAACGTCCTGGAGAGACATGGCGCATCCAGCGGACGGGACGGAGCTGGAGTTCGTCTGCCTGGAAGACGGTGCAATGCCGTCAGAAAATGGTGTCAACATTTTCACGGATGGGAGTAAGCTGGAGGGTAAGGTAGGAGCCGCACTGTCCGTATGGCACGGTGATGCGGAAACCAAAACCCGAAAGCTGAAACTAGAGAACTATTGCACCGTCTTTCAGGCGGAACTACTGGCACTTAACGAAGCGGTTGGATGCGCGCGAAGTTCCTCAGAATGTTGCCACAACATCCTGTCGGACTCCCGATCGGCCTTACAGATGGTCATAAATCCTAGTGCGAATCACCCTCTGGCAGTGCAAGTAAGGAACAATATAAAAGAGATTAGGGAACAAGGTAAAAGAATAAAATTATACTGGATTAGAGCGCATATCGGAACGGTCGGAAATGAAAGGGCTGATGAGCTGGCAAAAGAGGCTGCGTTAAAAACTAAAAGGAAGGCCGATTACGACAAATGTCCGGTTTCATTCGTCAAGCGACAAATCCGAAAGGACTCGCTTGACGAATGGAACCGGAGATATACGGAAGGAACGACAGCCTCTACGACAAAAATCTTCTTCCCAAACGCGATAGAGGCATATAAAATTGTTAGAAAAATCGAGATGGAGGCAACAATAGTGCAGGTGTTCACGGGGCACGGCGGGTTCTCCAAATACTTGCATCGTTTTAAGTGCAAGGAGGACCCGTCGTGCTCATGCGAGTCGGGAACCGAACAAGACGTCTTACATTTGATAGTTGATTGTCCGATATATAATAGACAAAGACACGATGTAGAACACGAAATAAATACTAAAGTAAAACCAGAAAATATAAATAAAATAATAGAGAATAAAGAAACCAGGGAAAAATTTCTAGAATTTTGTAAAACAATAGCGGAAAGAACAATTAAAAGTAATAAAAAGGATTAGTAATATCAATGTGGAATGTAAAAACTTTGGTAAAAATTCAAAATTAGAACTAGTGGTGCTTCCTTGAGGGTATTCTTTAATACTCAGGGAGAAGTGCCACCAAGCAGACCATATTGGTAATACTAAAACCGTAAAAATAAAATTATAAAGAGTAAAATATAGATAAAAATGTAAGATGTAAATGTAAAATAAATCGTAAAATAAATAAATAAAAAATGTAAAAAATAAATTAAAATGTAAAGTAAGATAAAAATGTAAAATATAAAAGTAATTAATCTGTAAAATTCATAAAATGTAAAATGTAAAGCAAAATGGACTGTAACTAAAAATTAAAAAAATGTAAAATGTAAAAAGGTAAAGTAAACTAGATTATAACTAAAAATTTAAAAATGTAAATGTAAAAATGTAATAACTTAGAAAGATGAACAAGGTCTCTGACTCAAAATTGTCGGGGGTGTAAGCCAGAGCGGCACCAAGCCGCTCTTTAAAAAAAAAAAAAAAAAAAAAAAAAA